TTTTTTTTTTTTTTTTTTTTTTTTTTTTTTTTGGTAGCTACCTTTCTCATTCAATAAATGTACTGAAGGCTTTTATTCCTGACCCCCTGACTGGTAAGCACAAGTAATATCCAGGTCAAACCCCTTAAGAACATCCAGTGACTGCATCGTTGGAAGGTTCCATTCTCCATGAGCAGTGCTAGGATCTGGACCAGACCACAGTTTTGGAAAAGGAATCAAAATAGACACATTTTACATAAAAGTTGGCTATGATAAAACTTTTCTTCAACTGTACTTCATGTGCTTCTATTTTCAAATAGTAGAATAAAGTTAAGACTCTGCTTGCATTTGTTTCTAATTCTCTCAGCCCCTATTCATTAATCTAAGTCACATATTATTTTTATTTCTAGAAGCATCAACTGTAGATATTGTAATGATCTCTAATATGACAAATAGGTAAGGTTTCTAACATACTATCCCTTCTTCTCCTGCAGATTTTATTATTCTGTTATTACTTTAGTATTTGTAACTTTAAGTATATTTAGTCTTCTATTTTTTGATTTATCAACTTCTAACAGTACAGCACCTTTTTACATCATGTATAGTGAGGGGACTTACCTGTCTATTCTTCCATCCATCTTTCCTTGCATGCTTTCTCAACTCTAAACTGCTATACTTTTCCTATTACATTGCCCAGATTTAAAATGTTTATATCCTATTCAGTAATTATTAAATAATCATTAATATTCATTTGGTTAACAATTTAAGTTTTAGATTTGCCAATGGGTTAGACAAATGATAAACCACTAACTAGGGCTCACAATATTACAAGCATGAGATCCCAGAAAGAAAACCAGGAAAGCAAAGAAGGGATTGTCACTCACGGTGGATGAGGCAAGGTCCTTGACATGTATGCCAGGTGGATTCTTGCTCTCACCCTCTACCTCACCACAGAAAGTAACTCAGATGCCCCAAAAGCTTCTGGATTCTTCTACCAGCTACCCAGGAAAGACTGAGTGTTGCTCAGTCCCTTTCGTCTTCTGAGAGGTTTTGTAAGCCATGTATATGTGTAATCTTTGGTCATTGCTATTTCTAATCTATATTCAAATGGATCCAGACTGTATACATCCTACTGAGACTTAGCTCTTGCGCTCCACTTTGTGATTTTCAGACCCAGCCATCATGATGCAGGTAGACTGGTTTTGTTCATTTTCAGTGCTGTGGACCATGTCAGTGTATGAAGAAACTACAAGTTTATTCATTGTCCTTCTGATGGGAAGGCATGGAGACATTTTTCTGTTCTCACTGACACATCTGCAAACATTCACAAGCATCCTTTATCTTAGATGCTCAGGAAGGAGTTCTGGGTTGTGGGCTCACGTAAGTTTAACTCTACCAGAGAATGCTAAATGGGATTTCCAAACTAACACTCCCTCCAGTGACGAAGATCAGCCCTCAGCAACATCTACACAACATTTGTTAGGGTCACATTTTTAACATTTTCCCCTAATTTAATATTGCAGAATGAAATTTCACTGTGGGGTTCCATTCCTCTGAGTCCTAATGAGATACATATTTTGGACTTGTTTCTTTGTGTCATTTCTTCAAAAAAATTTTTAATTTTTTTATTTAGAGAAGCAATTTAGTGTCTATATACAAGTAGTAAATTTTTTATCATTTGTATCATCCTAAATACAACCATAAACATAGTTTTTAATGTTAGACTTTTTACTTTTTACTAGTATCTTTGGGTGAACTATAAGTTTTTAATGTTAACATACTTGTCTTTACCAGTATTTTCCTTTAGTTGACTTCTTATGTTTTACGCTTAAGAAGCACACCAGAAATATATTTTATGCTTTCTTCTGAAATTGTATAGTTTCACTGATTTTTTTTAAAGTATCTGGATTGGCTTTTGTAGATGGTTGTTG